CACTCCCACCCTTTCCTCCTGGGTAGACTCCCCAACCAACTTCACTAGCTCATTTGATACATCTCCCACTAAGTCTAGCTATGAAGAAAATTCTATCCCTCACTTCAAACTCATCTCGCACCCGCGAGGGTTACGACGACTTTATCCGAGATACCCTCACCCATTTTAACTTAGTAGACCACTTCCTTAATATATGTCTTATCAACGCTCGATCGATTTGCAACAAAAAGTCGGATATAGCCCTGTTTGTATCCATGTATCAACCATCACTTATAATGATATCTGAAACATGGACAAACAGTAATATTTCCGACCGAAGTATATCTCTTGATAACTATTTCCTATATAGAAGTGATAGATTGAATGGACGAGGCGGAGGATGCCTTATTTACGCTGACTGTAGCCTAAACTCACTACTATGTGATATGCCTGAACTAAACAAACTGAAGGAATCGGTGTGGATTGTATTAAGACCGTCAAATTCCGTTACCTTACTGCTTTGATTAAAGCAGTATTCATACTTATCACAAACGTAAGAGAGCCTAACATCACAAAAGGAGGGTGGCGTTGCTCACCAGCAAACATGACAGTAGGAAGATAACTTCAATTCACCCATGTCTGTAGGGCAGAACATTTTGTTTAATTACGGCTCCTTATAGTTTTGTGGGATGTCACGAACTTAAGGTATTAATGCTGATTTATCATGCAAAATACCTCATTATATCGTGTTACGAACGTTGAATTGGTTTCACTTCCTACTCAGTAATCCTATTACAAGCAAACTAGACAATTCGATAATATACGAAACCTACTCAAGACCCTATAATACCTAAAAACTAAAAAAATGAACTAAAAATTAAAAAAATAATAGTACAAAAAAAGATGAAAAGGGCTCCAACAGCTTCGAAAAAAAGGAAGATAGTCAATTGTATATCATAATAACTGTTTTTAGCACTATATTTTATGACCACACATAATCCCATACTCTCAGCTTCTTTCTGAACCCCCTCCATTTGTCAGTTGTATGTCCGCCCATACCTTGTTGACACTTATTCTCTTTGACCTATTAAAATTCTCTTGCTTAACAAATACCCTAATAAAAGAAAATTAGACTGAGTAATCATACCTTAAACATTCCTTCATGAATATTGGCTACTCTGCCTCTAGTGTTTTCTTTTACTTGTTCCCTCTTCCACCCCCTTGAGATATGGAACGGGTGACTTCATCCTGCACCATCCTTAAAGCCATGGATATTCCAAAGGGACATAAGGTTGCGATTTCTAGAAGCTCCCACCTTCAATGGACCAATCTTTGGCCATCAGTTATACTTTCTCAACGCAACTTTCATGTGGCGCACCAACTGTGATACTGACTAAAACCATCTACATTTATATCTTTTAAATTATCAACCCAGCTGAGTAAGTTACTACAGTGGATAATGTATCATCTGTAACAATTTGATCTTGCTTGTAAACTGGCATGCCTCATGTAACAAACTGTTATTTGGGAATAAATTATTATTATTATTATTACACATACTAGGTAAATATACAAATAGATAGTAGGAAGACAGGTGTACTGATAGTGGTAAGAATAATAAAATACGATAACAAAAGTCTTATCAATAGTTAAACGTTGGGAACAGAGGGTCAAACGTGGGTAAATAGACTAGAAATAGTAATCACAAAACATAAAAATCATTACGTAATAAGTGTGTAAATGATCATTTCCCAACGGAGTTCGTTCCTATTTCCTGCATATAGCTGAAGCCATTGGAATTCGTACATATTACCCCAATTTATGTGTACAAAAGAAATTTGTAACCCCCCTATCCCTTTCATGGCTACAAGAAATCACGGACTTGATACTCTTGAGCATGTCATCGATAAATCTCCTTGAGAAGTTTCTGCCAAAAAGAATCGACAAAATTTCATGGTGTTCCAACAAATTGACGGGAGCCATTTTTGGAAGCTTGGTTATTCGCCTTAAGAGAATCGATTTTCGAAAAGACAGCCATAACGTTTAAGATAGATGTCAGGTCTTGGATGTATGACAAGGGGTAACGATAAGTGGTGGTTGGATCTTCGATAATTTCCAGTCGCACGCCAATTATCGGTATCTATTTTCAGAGACCGCAAGCGACGGGAATGCCCGTAGGCTATTGGATAGTTCTCTGGACAATTCTTGAATTTATCTAATCTACGTAAAAAATAAGCAACTTTTACGATCTGAACCATTTTGAAGTATCAAAGAAATTATTTTGATTGTGTGCTATCACACGTTGACTTCGTTCGTTCCACTTTTGATGTTCCAACAAAATGTGGTGAATGATGTGCGCAGCGGCTTCACATGGTCTTGTATGTCACAGATTATGCGTGATCACGTTTTTCTTAATGACTTTAAATGCGTATCACATCTTTGATAGAACTAGAGTTTTGGCTGAGAATAAGAACTCATTTTGGGGGGTGCTTTCAAACTACTCGATCGCCGTAGAAAAATTTTATGCTTTGAAAATCCCTGTACAGCATATTCTATAACGCCGTCTACCTCTTAGAGCTTTTTCCCTGCTTTGTGGATTAACTTTCATCCAGGACACAAGCAGCCATGTTTCACATTTCTCAAGCTCTTTCAATGAAAGTCTTTCTATCTCACTCCGATCAAATTTCGGCTGATCGCTTTATTATTGTTGTTGTGTAATGACAGACTAATTACAACAACGTAGTAGTTGACTCAAAGCAAGATGTGTGAAGTCCTTGATCGCTGTTGCTTTTTGACTGTCTATTCCAAGTGTTTGTCAATCTGTAACAGCTTAGGTTGGTTGGTTAAGAGTTCACCCCAAACAACTAAGCATATGTCGAAACATTATAGTTCACGTTTTCATTCACTTCCTAATTTTGTATAGACGTTATATTTCCTATTATCTTATATTGAATGTAGAGAAGTTTTGTTTGTCTTAACAAGTAATCCTAAGCTCCACTGTGACTGCGTGAAGATCTAAATAAAGACCTATTGACTACTTGTCTGGTTTCTTCTATCAATGGCACGAAGGTTACCTAAAGGCATGAAAAATCCATTGGTTCTTAGGAGAGAAAACTAGTCTCGTTCTGTCAAACATATTTATGTTTACTTGCAAGTACTAAACAGGTGTATTGCGTCATCGCATTTAGATGTATGGTACGTTGTTTTTTTCTAGAGAAACTTTTGACTGTATAAGGCACGGCTTCACTTTTCGTTTATATGTGTATGCACCTGTACGTGTGCAAGTGTTTACATACGTACGTTCCACATTTCCGTATTCCTGTTTCATCTGACATGTTACGCTACTCCTCTACTCATTTATAGCCGATCGTATTATTATTGTCTTCTGGCCTGCTCATAGTTACCATCATTAAATTATCCTCATGTTTGATTTTTAATTACTTCTCGATGTCGTCCAAATTTGATTAAGTGTGTTGTTTTGTTTAACCCAAAATTCATGCCCATCAGATGATATACTAGGTTACTGTTCTTCAGTTGGCCTAATGTAGACTTACTGTCCACCAAGACGAAGCATGTTCCCCTATTGTTAGACGTTGTTTGAATTACTTTTGTTGTCTGTGCAATGAACGATCATGTTCGTAAATTATTGGAGTAAATAAATGATTTAACCTGTTTCCATGAAAGATTAGAAAATGAACGACGTATTTTTCAGACCGTTTAAGTATTCAGTTTTCTATGATTCTAATATCTGATTAGAAATAGAGTAATAAATATGCAAAAGTAAATTTGGTCGTGATTACGTAACTGACTGCTGTCTTAAGTAAATTACGGTATACTGATAATATGAAGTTTCTCTGGGAAATCAGAGTTAATATGTTGTATAATTTGTGGATGATCAGGCGTATATTAAAGTAGTGGAAGAGCTGACTCCATTGAGAGCTGAATTGTCCCACAATATTACACATGTTTCCTAAAATCTTCTTGTAAACCATCGGTCAAACAACCCCTCAGTGATTGCTACTATTGTACTATTATTGTACTTGAAAGTCACTTATCAAGAAATGTCGGTGACAGTTGTGTATTGTCACAAAGATGTTAGCGATAGTTCACTACTGTGGTATTTCCAACACCATGCATCTAAGGATACACTCGGTAAAGGCGTCAACGAAATTCACATTTACTGAAGGACAAGCTGCACTCTGTCGGGATTTCTTCTGAGGATATTTCAGAAGACTTGTTAACTGTACGAGTAAACAATATCAAAATGCTGATGTTCTGTATAACAGAGTTGCTGAATTAATTGGATGCTGTCCCTCGTCTGTTACACTATCGATAACGACAATATATTCGGAACTTTCGGTAGATAGTGAGTCAAATGACATTCGTTTGATTGATTTGGAAACATCGGCGGCGTGCAATGTTTTTAAAAAAGAGAATTCACAGACTTTCCTTTACTTGTAGTGATGACTGATTCGTTGGTCAATAGAGGGTGGTGTCGTTGGTTATTTACATGACGGCTGGAAGTAATAAAATCAAAATAATGGGTTTCGTGAAACACAGAAACGTAGTGATCCACTTATGTCAAAAAATTTTTCTTAGCTTTTGCTACTCTTAAAAACAAAAGGTATTTCAGTTAATCCCGCGTCAATTTTGTTGATCCGTCTTAATTTCTTTAAGTTATCTGTCTATTAACTGTTCACGTGTATTTCACCAGGTTACTTAATAATGAACCCTTTGCTATCTTGCCATCTATCTGAGCTTAAATTTTATAATCCTTCTACTAAAATACCTACGTGGACATTCATAAACATTATAGCTACTAATTCAACAACTACACCGCTCCTATCTCAACACTAACTTCAAAAGACACTGTTAGAACTCGGTTGGAGGAGTATAGTTCAATGGATAGATTAACTATCTTATTAGAATTGGTATACATAAAAACAGAGTTTAAAAATCAAGAAATGGAGACTAGAAAAATAACTATTATGTGTAAACTTAAAACAACTATGTTGAAAATTGAAAAAACAACCTTGACGAGAACATATATAGGTAGCGACATCTGGTAAACTAACAGGTTGCTGGTTTTCAAATCTTCTGGTTCAAGGTTTGTGTATATCAGGTACTGGTTTGTTTTCTGGTCCTAAAAGTGCATGTCCATTTTATTGAAGTTCCTAAGGTTGGCCCTACTTGTCTCTGATGTTTGGGAAATTTGGAATATTTGTGTACTGGTTCAGAGTAAATAATTTCACTGTAAATGAAACTTCCAGACGAGATTTGTTTCTCAGCTGAATAATATTCTCTATTGCCTCAAAATGTTCCTAAATAAATCTATCTTTATCGTTAGAACTCTCTTTAAATGGCTTGTTTTAGAATGCGTGCCCTAAAAATTACATTTTGTCGAAGATGAATTGTTTGAAGTACCTCACTAAAAACACATCGATTTAATTTCCTAGTAATGTTGCTTATACCTACTTTGTTTTATATCTTGATGCAGTGTCTACTCTGATAATTAGTTAAGTTTTATCAATTCTAATCAGTAGTCCAATATTTAATCTTTTTATCAAGAGCTTGTATGAACCAAATGATTTCATTGCACTTGCTTCTTGTTTCATTATGGCTCCAGGCATTCGATTATAAGTATACTTGCAAGATAAACAGGTGAAACTATCATTTGTGGACGAATCTTGAGGGACGATAGTAACCTTGAGGCGACCCACCTACTTACTATGGGTCAAAAGGGTCTGTAAATGAGTATAAAGAATTATTATTGGAATTTAAGGGTTGGGACTTGAAACAAGGGCTTTCGTCTCAAACTGACATCAAATATAATTCTGAAGTTCCATTTAACTATATAGATAAATGAATTTTGCTCCAAAATGCAATGCTTTCTGTCCTTAAATGCTTTGGTTTGTCCATAAATTATAGTCTTGCCGATAAACTGTCCTGTAATTCATTCTTATCAACGTGTTTAGAGTATTTAGCTTCAGTTCAGTAGCATGACTTTCAGGTGTGTATTGTTCATAAGAATAAAGTTTAGTATATATCGGTCTGAGAGCAGCACAGTTAATCGATGCAAGAGTCAGATAAACATAAATACCGCGACAAATATTTCACTGTGATGACATCCAGGTAATTAGATCAAGGAAAAATAGCTAATAATACTGAAACAGTGGGGAAAAAATCATAAAACTATCATGTTTACGATAGAAATTGCGTTCAATTGTTGTACACAGTCCACTTAGATCATCACTATCTCTTTCTAAATATAAATATATTGGTACGTCTTAAATGTTCTAGCACTATAGAAACAAATTATTTCCGTTTTTATTTTTACAGACTACAAACAAATGGATGTATTACAATCCCTTACAAATTTCAGCGGAAAGCTTTATGGGGAAATGTTGGAAGAAAACCAGAGTAAGTCAGTATTTCAAAATATGCTCATTGGTATGTTTAGGTCATTTTGAGAATACTTTTCTCTCTCCTTTTAATATATATACTGCCCTGGGAATGATCCTTTCCGGCAGTGAAATGAATACAAAAACGGAGATAATGAAAATGATGCACTTATCTACTTGTTTGGAACATCATACAATTCACCATGGAATCAGTGGACTTCTGTTTAACTGTGCAGAACGTGGTGAAGGTGTTGAGATAATGTTTGGGAATGGATTGTTTACAGCAGAAGATGTGGATGTTAAAAAAGATTACGAAAATACTCTTAAGAGTTATTACAACGCACAAACAGAATCTGTGAGTTTATATCTTAACTTACTAATCTTTTGTGTAGGTGACATTTCAGACGGATCCGGAAGGTGCTGGAAAAAGAATAAACCACTGGGTTGGTGAACTGACCAAAGGGAAAATTCGTGAACTTTTTTCGCCTGGATCGCTGTCAACCGACACATCGGTTTTAGTAATTACCACTACATACTTTGAAGGTAATTTTATATATTCAACCTATGATACTTATGAATGTCCTTTAAAATTTGAGTTCGTCATTGTTTATAGTTTCTGCAATTATCAGTAATTCCATAAATAGTTTTGTCTTCTAGGTCTGTGGAATCTACCCTTTCTTCAAGGAAGTTCACACGAAAGCGATTTCTTTAAACTTGACGGATCAACGATGAACGTAAAGTTAATGTATATGAATTCCTCATTTGAAACCGTCAGTTTACCACATTTGAAATCACGTGCTATTAAGATACCATTTAAAGATCCTAGGTAAGTATGTGTATTTTGGAGCATGTATAGAACAAGCTTATTTTCGGTGATCTATGTACTAGTAGCCCAAGCACTGGTTTATGAGTTATAACTATTCAAGGTGTGGTTTTTCCTAAATCACCGTGAATGACTGGGTACAACCATTAGATCTTTTGGCCGTAGTTGTTAGAAAGCTTTGTTCAGGCTTTTTACTTATTTATTGTATTGCAACACATGGCCTAATAATGAGTCACGATCTCGGCTACAATCTGGGTGATGTAGCAAAAGCCTACAACAAATACACATAGATTTCTAAAGTCAGTGATTGCTAATTTCTGTCATCTGAGAGATATGAACTTAGTGTTTGTGATTTTTTGTACATTTAAGGTCATTAGTCAAAAGCTTAGGCAACATGACTTAAAAGTAATTTCACTGTCCTATGTCTGTTTAAGCGTAGTTTACTTTTGCATTTTGAACACGTTAATATATACTTTTTCAATCACAATTGACTGTCAAGCTCTCAACAACTAATTTCTTTACTTTAGGAAGCAACATTCGTTTACAGAATCTGACATCATATTTTAAGTTTGGTTTATTCTAATGATTTGCAAAATTTCGTGTTAAGGTTTTTGTGAAACACGTATTCGTTAAAACGTTTTGTTGGAGACCAACTGAAGACGAAGGACTAAGCAATACAAACTGTATTTTCTTGTAATATGACTTTAGTATAGAGATAAACGACCAAACACCAATATGATTCGTGAACTACCAAAATATTGTCTACGAACGGTGAACCTATATGATTCAAAATTATAATTGGGAACCTCTGAAGATCCTCGCAAACCTACAAGGGAATTTCAATAGGTATTCTGAACTTGACTCGGATACGGTTAGTTTTTAGTGAAGTCAGCTTGCTAATGTCAGAACGTCAGGTATCTATGACACTTATTGGTACTCCACTGATTAAATGAGTCGACATTTCTGCCTCTCTTTAGTCAGCTTGATAGTTAAATATACCGTGTCATTCTACTTAACATCATTTTTATATCAATTCTCTTTTCGGTATGTTCAGGTGTAGTATTATTTTGCCTAACCAGGTATCGTCATTTAAGTATTAAGCTTCAGATATCTTGAGAAAAACATACGGTGTAGAAGTTTTATAAATAATTTGATGAATAAACAGTATTTTAATAGCGAAGAGTGATAAATACATATGAATACAATTCATGCTAGGCAGATTATATTTGGATTCATCATTCGGTAAACGAAATCTAAGAATCAAGACTATTGCAATTTAGCTCCATGTAATGTTTACTCAATAGAAGTTGATTCAGTCATGAAGTGTATAGATATTATTGATTGTTCATTTATAGCTCAATATTCTATTTTGTATTATCCCTTTTCCAACCTTTTCGTGTTTTAGATTCTCATTATTGGTCATTCTTCCAAACACAAATGATGGATTATCTGAGTTACTAGATGCGTTACATAGAGATGATGAATTTTCATCAATTCTTTCTTCTAACTTTACAGATACCAGTATACATTTGTACTTACCAAAGTTCAAACTGAAGGAAGGCAGTGCTATAAGCCTTGTAGGCTATCTACAGAAAATGGGAATGAGAGAGGCTTTTTGTCCAGGATCAGCTAACTTTACAAACATGTCTGAATCAAGTAATTTATGTATACGAGATATACTCCATAAGGCTATTCTTGAAGTGAGTCGTATAAATCTTGTGTTTCTCAACAAACTTCGTTGTTAGATTGCATTTACCTGTTAATATTGTGAAATAAACTTGAAGCGCTGGTTGGTTGTAGCCAGTATGGTTGAGATTCGATTTCTGTCTACTTGTTTATACAGGAACTCATACTTGCGAGTAATGCGTTCTGCAATTTCTTCGGAACCATATCTGCTGATTTGATGCGTAAGACTTAATCGAAACATTGAATGTCAGCTTAACACCACTAACGTGCATGACAAGGATGGACTTCATTCAGATAATGTTTCTTGATTTCTCACTCAACCTCTTTATCATGAAATAACTTTAAATATAATACAATCTGAGGAGTCATGAGTGACATTGGTATTTCAGGATAGTGTTACTTATGGAAAGACGATCTGTTTAGTTTGTCAAAAAACCACGACTAGCAGCAGCGTAACTTCAACGTACTCTATTCGTCTCTTGGTGTTAGCGATGGCAATCCACGAAGAGTCACAGAATGTTGTTATGTTTGAGTGGTAAATTCTGACAGCCGTGTGAAATAGTTATGTTGAGCAGAATGTTTGAGAACCAACCCTTGTAATAGATTTGTGTAAGGATTTTAAATCACATCCATTAACATGTCTACGAAAATCCATGTAACCACCTGAAGGCATGTTATTTTCAATTACATCGGTCGCTTTTCCACAGGCTTTTGTCAGTCTCTTGAAAATACTTCACATATCAGTGATACTGATATTTTCGTCACTCACGAAAGACTATTTTATAAAGGAAAGTTTGTTGTTCATTCCAATTCGTTATGGTTACCTTATGGTTATTAGAGCACTAATCAGGTTTTATTTCTTAGTGATATTTGAGATAGATTTCACCACTCATTGTGATTAGTTTTATTCACAAAAGTGTTTTCATATTAAGTGTTTTCAATAACTGATGACAGAGTGATTGATTTTGTCTTTAACTGTGATGAAATTCTATTGAGGAAGTTGCAATGTGACCGCTAGTTTAAGTGACTTGGCATTGCAGTGCACTGTGATGTGTTGAAAGTGTTTGGAGGTGGTTGTTACGAAACTATTGACCTAGGTTCAGTGATAGTTTGTTACTGTAAGACTGAAACTGGAACCTTGGGGAACTGTCGCCCTCTGTGAAAATCGAATTCACATCAACCCTTGTCACTTTTGAAGATGTTACCACTGAGCTATTTGTGCTACAACTAATCTCCTGTATGAGCTGAATATTAAAATTGACGGATCAGCGAATTGTTACCAATGTCATGTTGTTTATCTGTTAGAGGTGATGAAGTTTTGTGGACTTAGTTGCAGTATTATCAGTAGTCCAATGAACTTGATATCTCAATAAGCGTTTTTGTGTTCCATGATTGAATGACGCATTAGAGCCATGAGTTTATTGACTTACGTTATTGACTTTCGATTTCCAATTATGTCACACATATTTCTATTTACCCAGAATCAATCACGACGCACTACGATTTGGAACCACATTGGTTCACAGAGTTTAGTTAACTTTGGAGACCTTTACGTATTTGGGCAGCATCATTGATGAACAGGGTGGATCTGATGCAGATGTGAAGGCGCGGATCGGCAAAGCAAGAGCAGCATATGTACAACTGAAAAAACATCTGGAACTCAAAGCAACTGTCAACCAACACCAAGGTCAGGATTTTCAATACAAATGTCAAGACAGTTCTACTGTATGGGGCAGAAACCTGGAGAACTACAAAAGCCATCATCCAGAAAATACAGGTGTTTATTAACAATTGTTTACGCAAAATACTTCAGATCCATTGGCCGGACACTATTAGTAACAACGTACTGTGGGAGAGAACAAACCAGATCCTAGCGGAGGAAGAAATCAGGAAGAAGCGCTGGAAGTGGATAGGACACACATTGAGGAAAGCACCCAACTGCGTCACATGGAATCCTCAAGGCCAAAGGAAAAGAGGAAGACCAAAGAACACATTACGCCGGGAAATGGAGATAGACATGAGAAAAATGAACAAGAATTGGATGGAATTAGAAAAGAAGGCTCCGGACCGAGTGGGTTTGAGAATGCTGGTCAGCGGCCTATGCTCCATTGGGAGTAACAGGCGTAAGTAGTAAGTAAGTAATTAAGTAGTGGAGACAAGGTGACTCAACATAATTAAATCTGAGTTGACTAATCCCTCTTACATTGTTCACGTTGATGAATGCTTCAGACAAAATGATAATGAGTAAATCTGTGATTTTATGTAACATGAAATATTGTAATTATTTCTACTGTTTCTTCCACTTAAAAATTGTTAATATAAGTTCTATTGATTTTTGTTCATAGGTGGATGAGCAAGGTGTGGTGGCAGCTGCAGCATCTTCTGCAGAAGTTGTTCAACTTGCTGCACCTTTACCTGAATTCGCTGATGAGGAATTTCGTGTTGATCATCCATTCTTCATTTCAATTATTTGGAATAATTCTTTGCCAATATTTCTCGGACATGTTACAAGTCCAGAGAATTGATAATAGTCATGATATATTCATCAACCTAATATACTTTTCCTTTAAAAACAATGTTTACATACATTCTGATTTTTATTCAATTATGTATTTTGGATCTTTGTACTTTTAATATTGAACAGTCCTGATATGATGTTGTTTATTACTTCATGGAAGTGATGGTTTTAATGAAACCTTTGAATGTTTTTTTTTCTATTAACTTGAGTTTTGTTTTCATTTCAAATATAACTGTCCATTTGTTATTTGTTTTTCAATAATCGTGAAAGATTCCAATTTCATGTCCAAACTGATGTAAGTACAGTGGGGTTTGAACCTGTGACTTTTTAGTTGAGACTAGAACACCTTAAACACTGATACAGTGATCCGTGGATTAAAGACTAGAATGTATATGAATGAGTTTTATTTGGTAATTAAGTGATGTGAATATTTAGGTTTCTACACTGAGAAAAATTTGGGACGAATACCACCATAATAATATCTGTCACTGATTTGCAGCATAGTAACTGTGGTAATATTAGTTCGTTTTTAGATATTTTTTACTGAAGATTGTTGATAGAAAATGGACCTAGACTTCATGAACTTTCAATCTGACTCCATCCATTTTGTATTTTTCGAAAGTCGGATAGATTCACTTCAAAATGGGTATTAGAACTGCGTCCTTTCTCTCTGATATATTTTTATGTGATTCATTGGATGTTTAACGACGATTAATTTTTTATAACAGATGAATCCACAAGTCGATTGAAAATGATACCGTGAAATCAGAATACACAAGGAAATGTAGTTTATAATTGAAGCAGTCAGTAAACTGATGATCAGCTCATAAGCTTGGACAGAGGTGGATGCACATAGGTTCTCGTACTGCATTTGTTTTCGAAGTATTACTTGAGTTTAGTGGAACTAGCGAGTGGGCGAGTTTAATGTTTGGTATGTGGTACTTGACAAACGTGGCAAATCGGCTGATGAGGTCAGTTTTCGTCACAAGGTGTAGTGGTTAGAGGATATATCACGCGTACCTAATCACACATACCTTAACAGGCGATTTCTTCTGGTTTAGGAGTATGCTGAAATAAAGTTCGAGGCGGCTGAGTCAAGATAAAGCATCAACTTATGAAGAAATTGACCATCGTTCTGAGCCATGTTGTTAAATTCAAACTACGTAATTCGGGTCGAAGTGGCATTTATTATCAGTGTCTAGAGACCTTGGATAATATAGCTCAGGGTCGTTCACTGAAACCGAGATGTATCCATCCAGTATCTTTTTGACGACCGTTGAATATTAACCAGCTGCTTACTCTAAACAGCAATGTGATTCATCTTGCTCACAATCAAACATTTACGAGTGAATAGTCGTTTGTTGAAAATATATAGCAGTCATTGTTTTACTGATGTGACAAAACTCAGAATTCTGTAGTTTTATCACTTATTATACATTGAAGAGAATTATTCAAGTAGGATTGTGAATACATTCAAAACTAATTAAACATTGCTCATTTGAAAAATGATACAATTCGATTGTATGACTGTTGTATAAACGGTGTTTTCATGTCAATGCCTTAACTTCGTTTCTAGACGTAGTGCGGTGAACAGAACATGGGTGGACACAATCGAACGCATTTAACACACACTCACAGGACAATCATAAAGTAAATGATTAATTTGCAAAATGTTCACCAGTTGTCTCAAGATAACTCAGACTTCATTATTCTTGCATTTTCATACAAATTGCATTCTCTTTCCATTCTTTACTGTTCGATCCTCTTGTCTTTCTGCTGCCTAGACCCTTCTGTCCACGACTAACATCATATACTACTTATGTCGATATAAGTAGCACACACTAAAGTAGTACATGGAATGAAATTACTGACTAAATAAGGGTAAATGGGAAGTATGAATAATCGATTAATGTTTATATGTTTAATGTACTGTCATAGTTGTGGGGTAGTGATTGACAGCAACTAATATGATATGACACTTGTAAATTTAAATGATATATGTAAAGTCATTTATTTGTATTGCACTTGTCATTATTACTCAGGCAATATCGACATATTTCTTCATAAGTAAAAGTATTAGACACTTAATAAATAGTGGATATACAATAGTTACTTGTGATATGTTTAAATAACCAACGCCTATGATGGTATTTGAAGAGGGTTCTTTGCTCGAAGGTGACAGTTGCGGTGTGAAGTGATTCAGTGACTTGTTGGGTAATGGCTGGTCATTAGTTAGAATTCACACTGGACTGAGTGTGTTTCTGAACGTAATTGTAAATGTTAATTATTGTGCAGGATTCTTCAGCCTAGTCTTCGTCTTCTAAATTGCCTGTTTGTCTGGTAGAAGAACTATTACAGCAAAAAATTTACTGAAGTCTAACATTTTCTCCAATCGAATCGTCGTTCAGTTTAACCGATGGGTAGGTTATTAGTACATATTGGTAAATTATAAAGTGAGAACGAAATAACTCAGTAATGTCAGACTTTCAGCAATGTCAACTCAAGATGATAGCGTTGGTTAAGTTCATGATGGAGTCGAGAAAATCCCATGTTGAACAGTTACAAGTAGCTATTTAATAGCTCAAGGATCACCATTGTATTTTAACTGATACTTAAGCTGAACATTATCTCAGGCCTTCTCCCTCAAAGCTGTTATGTGAATGAGTCGAAACTGTCTGAGAATATTCTCTGTATATGCAAATGAATTGTGAAAATTATTGATTTGATAAGTTTTTGAGCAAACATATTGAATGTTGCATTTTACCAAAAATCTCTGCATTTATTCGACATATCTACAAGTTTAACCTGTTTGATTTGTCAGCTTTTCGCTACATTTAAACCTTTGATCATACTAGAGTGAAATTTCGTAGCAGTCTTCAGGATGTCATACACTGTTGAACCACTGTTGTTCAGGTACTGTGAAATAGAATTGGGGAGATGTATGAAAGAGGTAGAGATTGATAGAGCATGTAACAAGTGGACTGTCTAACGTCAGTCCAGTTATTTATATAAATGAATGTGGTATAACATCCTATTTAAAAACTGAATGAAATTTAACATTTTATTGATGAAATTTCGAAAGTTTAAGAACTGTGTGTTATTATAGTCTTCATACAAAATTGAAAAGTGACAGGGTGAGGATCAGGCTATGGTTGTCGGCAAAGTTTCCATTTGAGATCATGAATCGACTGATGTCTGATCACTAATGAAAACCTAGAAGCACTGAACGGCCGTTTCATCCTATTACGAGACCCTTCAGCAGTGTGCACCTGCGATCTCTCTCTCTTGCTAACTCTTAACCTCTAAAACCACTGAGTCGTCACCTAACAGTGTTAATGCCTAACCTCAACCAATCCACGAAAAACAACCATCCAGTGCTTTCAGGTTTTCAATGTTTATCTAACATCAATCGATTGGTGATCTCAATCAAAAACGTATTAGTCTCCACAACCTCATACTGATAAAGTTTTCAATGTGAAATGTTTAAACAAGATATTCTCATGCATCATTTCACATGAACATTGTACATAATGATATGATGAAAAATCCAAAACAGAAATCTTCACACAATATGAAGTGGCACAATTGAGATTGTATTCTAATCATCATTAAACTAATCGTTTGTTGTATAATCTCCATCGAAATATAATCAAGTGTGATATCAACTTTGTACAAGTTATCATCATCATCATCATCATTTGATGTATTTACATGTGTCGTAATTTGCTCAAATGGTTTCATCGAAACAATGAAAACTTTTCATTTATTATGTACATGATAAAGCATCATCAGGGTTTCCCAAAAGAGCTGTTGTTTGTTAAGCACAATACTTGACATGAGTAATTCATTATACATTAAGGAAATATCAATCATTATAATATTAAAGATTGTAACTATATGCTGTAAAGGGGGGATTTCATCAAAAGTAATTACTGCATTACCAATGATAAGCTATTAGTTTTCTTATTTTGGAAATGATTGAAAAGTTTATGATTTAGGTAAATTGATTTTGTATTCTGATACCTTTCAGAGTTTTATGGTTTGAGTCTGTCAGATAGTTGATAACTATGGTTATTGTCATGATGTCGCTGTGTGTGTTGGACCAGTTTGTTTTCTATGTTAGCATGGATTTATTTGAAATTGGCAAGTGAATTTGATTTATATCACGTTACCATGTTTTGATTTGAATTAGTTGATCACACGGTAACATTGTTTTGTTGTGTATGTGCGTGCGTGTGTATTTCAATTAGGTTACTATGGTTTTCCTAATACCGGACTAACCCATTTTTGAAATCAGTAAAGGCTTGTACTTTGTATGAAAATTCACTTGATGTTGTTTACTTGTATCTTCCTATTGTTATTTAGGACTGCAGTTGATCATTCTTGTATTGGCATATGTGTATCCTGTACGGACCGCCTCGATATTGCTTAGATCACAAGCTTTATTAGCAAACATGGATCTAAGTCAATATCGAGACAATACGCACAGGATGCACATATGCTAATAAGAGACTGATCAATTGCAATCCTAAACATCAATTGGAAGATTCAAGTAAATAATAATAAGGGAATTTAAACTTCACTCCATTGCGCGAGCAAGTTTTTATCAGAACTCAGTAATAACTGGATAACGCGATGGCATTCAAAACGAACATTACAGGGTTTTAACATATGAGTCAACTCTTGGATACAGGTACATCCAACTAGCGAGTCTCGAATTCGATGTAACGCGGTTCCTAAATTCCACTGTTAGCCATTATCCAACTTTGCTTTGAACTAAATTAACTTAGAGATGCTTCATAATCACTTTGTTTTAAATGTATACCGAGTCATAGATGTTATTACATTGAGAAATTATAAAACGAAACATTAACATAACATTTGAAGTATGAAAAAGAAAAACCATTCAAAGTGATTCACACATTAATAACATAAAGCAATGATCGTTGAATTATATTGAGGATTGATCAGAGTTCTGAATGTGAACTATTCAAACACAGTAGGATAAAGTTTACAAAGTCAGTATGAACCGAACAGGCTAAGAATCCAAGATTCATCATAGACATAGATGTATGTTATTGAATAGTATTAGAAAAGATTGAAAAATCCGCCGGTGATTGGTTATTTACAGTCTAGTAGTTGTTCCTAAGCTTTGATAGAAACCCTTTACAAACTGCATATAACTCTTGCAATTAATGAATTTTGTAAAGTAATCTTAAACCATACAGTAATATTGGGGTTGAAT